AGTGTATTTGGTAACTGAAATTGAAGTTGTTTTCGTCTTTCTTCTGCAATTTGTTCCAAAAATATCAAAGAATGCGAACAGGGGTGAGTCTTTGAATCCATTGAAAAAAAGAGCAACATTGAAAGATGATTCGAAATTTTCAAGTCTAAGAAGGGCAAATTCTATGTCAATTTCATTCCAAAAAGTAAATATTGGTTATTCGTACCAAAAGAATAGGGAAAAGGCTCCGTAAAATATTTTAACTTTGGTCGAAATTGTTGTTACGATACCAAATTTTATGGAGAATATTTTACCTCTCTGCACTATTTAATAATGTATTTTAAAGGTATATATGTATCCACGTGGACACATTACTATTTATAATGATGCAATTTTTATGATGTTCACTTGAGCACATATATACTTTTAAAATACATTATTAAATAGTGCAGGGGTAAAAGGTAATTTTCAAAGTTCAGTATTGTTATAATAATTTCAGTCAACGTTCGAATATATTTCAGACTTTTTTTCTAAAAGAATACCAATTTCAAATAAATTCTAACTAGTAATTGTATTTGTTATATAAATAGTATACCAATTGCATACACATTTTTTGTCAATAACTATACCAATTTCATACCAAGAGTGAATAGAACAACGTCTCACCATTATTATGTAAATATTATTTAATAGGAACTAACAGTATACCAATTTCATACTATTATTATGTATAATTCTATGTCAATTTCATGTCAAATTTAAACACTGATTCATATCAGATCCGTATCGAAAGAATGTGAATTTCAAATCAATTGTAACTAGTAATTGTGTTTTTTTTTAGTAGTATATCAATTTCATACAAGTTTTCGGTCAATATCTATATCAATTTCATACCAAGAGTGACATTGGTTATTCATACCAACTTCAAACAAATTAATTGTAAACACTCTTTAATTATAAATAGATTTGACTTTTTAGACTTCAAAATTTTAGAAGATTATCCACTGCTAATAGAATGTTATGCAGTTCTTTTCGTATAAAATTAAAAATTGTGCCTTTTTTTTTCATATCATTTTTACCGTTTTGTTGGTATAAAATTAGAAGGACAAATTCTATACAGTGATGACCACTGTTTTGAGATGAGAGAGAAAAATAGAGAAAATATTGAGTAAGAAAAAATTTGTAAAAAAATCTATTTTGAAAGACAATTAACAGGTGAGAGGAAAGACGATGTAAATAAGGAAAATAATATTCTTTTTATTATGACTCTCCTTATTTTATGTCTATTATTAATTACTAGTATACGTACCCGCATGTTGCGCGGATATATTAAAATGGATCATTTTTAATTTAAAAATGTTTTTTTGGAACAGTATTTTAAAAATAATATAAAGATGCATAAAATCAATTGTTTTATAAATTATTAGAATTTTGTCCACGATGTTATGTTTAGTTCAATATATTTTGTTAATTTCAAATTATTTCTATATATATTTTTTAAAGAAAAACTTTTAATGTTGAGATTAATAAGGAGTGTAGTTAAGAGTGTAGTTAAGATCAATAAATAGTTGCAAATCAGCTTATCTCTAAAAATAAATACAATTAGAATATTTTTTCTAATTAATTAAGCATAAAAGATTTAAAACTTCTATAAATTAATTATTATGTAAGGATTTAGATGAAAGGGAGAGAAATTGGAGGATAGGCTAGAAGGCTACGTGCGTGAGAAAATAGGCAAATTAGGCTATTAGAACAATGTTTAAAAATATTTAATATTTAAATATTATTTCTATATAGTCATATCAGCTATACTTTTAGTTTTATAATATATTATGTACTAATTTTTCTAAGGATACTAATAATTCTAAGATTATTTTACCTTGACCAAACATCAAATACTTTAAATATTTTTACTTGTTTATCCATTATTGTTTTATATAGTTTGAATTTAAAAAAAACTTTTTTTTGTTAACAATTTATTATTTCTAACATTTCACATGAAATGTCTAATATCATAAGATTAAATTACACATTGACATATTAACTAATGTTTATTCAAAATCAACATATGGATATATTAATAATTACTATTTAATTATGTAAATTATAATTAAAATAATTAAATGTAAAGATAATCTTAATTAATACATCTGTTATATTAGGTTTACTCAAAATATTTTTTAGATATTATAAATTTTGATTTGAACTGTATTAGAAAAGATATGAATGTGGATTAGAAGGGTGTTATGTTGATTTGAATTCTATCCGATTAAACACATTATGCGTAACTATTGTTATCGTGAAATTCAAATATTTTAAATTTCAAATTTAAAATTTAAAATTGTATCATATATTTTAAAATTGCATTTTTCAACTCAAATTAATGTTGTTATATAATATTGTGAATAGTCTTAAATTTGCTAAATGACTTACAATTGTGATATTGCTCAAGATAGAATTTAACACTTCCTATATAAAGATAAATATTATTTATCCTAAATTCAAAACTTTAATTTATATTTCTCATAAAGTTATATTGAAATTTGATTATCCTCTTAACAATTTGTTTAGAAATGGAAAGGTGATGAGAGGTTTTATAAGTGTTTATTTAAATTGTGATGGTCAATAATTCTAAATTAGTAGGGTTATAAGAAGGTGCAAGTGATGGAGTTAAAAGAATGATTTTTGTTAATTGAATTTTGTGGAGTTACATTATTTTTTATTTTTTTTTGTATTATTTTTTGTAACCGTTTTTAGTGTTAACAGTTTTTATTTTTTATTTTTAGATTTTAAATTAAAGTATTTGTTAAATGAGTTATTTTATATTTATATAATATTTATAAATATGAAGAAATTAATATATAGAAGGATAAAATTGTCAAATCTAAATTAATTTGTATTTATTTTAAATAGATTTAAAGAATGGTTACAAGAAAATGAAAATAAGGGAGGTAGACGTAATATCGTAAACCATAGGAGAGGTGAGTGCTATAGAGCGAAACCTGAAGGGATGTATCTGAAATTATCCCTTATTATTATTATTGTTATTATTATTATTGTTATTATTGTTATTATTATTATTATTATTATTATTACTATTACTATTACTATTACTATTTCTATTACTATTACTATTATTATTATTATTACTATTACTATTACTATTATTATTATTATTGTTATTATTATTCTTATTGTTATTATTATTCTTATTGTTATTATATTGTTATTATTATTATTGTTATTATTGTTACTATTACTATTACTATTACTATTACTATTACTATTACTATTACTATTACTATTACTATTACTATTACTATTACTATTACTATTACTATTACTATTACTATTACTATTACTATTACTATTACTAAATAGGAGTTTGAATGTGCATTGAAAAAAACATATTGTACGTATTTGTTAAATTTATTTTTTAGAATTTTAATTATTTAAATGTCTGTTTTTTTGTGGTGCTGACACCTGACACTTTTTACTTCTCTTATTATATATAGATAGATCATTACTATTTTTAATTTGTTTGTTAATTTATATTTCGCTTTTTCTAACTTTTTTTATTTAACAAAATGTTATATCCCGTAACTGTTTAATGTTAAAACTTGAAAGATAAAGAATAATGTCATAACTAATAATAATTAGTCTTATATATATCAATTATAAAATTTCACTTTTCAAATAATGTATTTTTTATTGAAAAAAGTGAAAATTAACATGTCCAAACAAACCTAGGTGTGATATCTATATTGGAGTTTGTTTGACATTACAGTTGAAAATTGCTTATTTTCAGAAGCATTTAAAAAAAAAATAGTTTTTCAGAAAAATGTTTTTGAAAAATGCAATTTGTGTTTGACTAATTCATTTGGAAAAGTGTTTTTCATGAGCAAATTGTGTTTCACTAGTTTTTTTTTTAATTTTAAGGAAAAGTGCTTTTGAGAGTCAAATTACGAAAAAGGCAACTATCAATGTACTTTTAATATTAAAATTATTTTATAGAGAGAAACTATTTTAAATATTTATTAAAATTTAATTTATTTTATTTTTTATTAAATTAAAATGTACACATTTAAATTTTCAATCAATATTTACCTTTTTTTGAAGGGCTGAAATCTTTAATTGTTATTTTTTTTCTTTTTTCTAATCTTGAAAAATAATAAATAAAATAATAATGCATAACGTAAAATAAAACATACAATTTATTATATAAAAATAAAAAAAATTAAATTCTTAAATAAATCTTGATCAAACTTATGAGATATGCTAATTAACTAATAAGAGATATATTGGTAAATATGTATCTATGCAAGATATATTTTAGTCTTGAAAAAAATATTTTTCTACTTCTGCTCCTACTTTTTTAAGAAGCAGGACTTTTTAGTTTCTTCCTAATTATAGAAAAACTACTTATGCTTCCATTGAAAAACAATTTTATGGTTTGCCAAACACCTAGGTTTTCGAAGAAAAAAAAACTATTTTTTTTTCAAACTAAGAATTTTTGAGCTCCCAACAACACTGTCAAACAAGCTCTTAGTACAATGGTTGTGTAATTAGGTGGTTTTCATAACCAAACAAATAAGTATAGATTAAATTAGTATATATGGTATGAATACTTTAACTACAAAGCTACATCTATTATTGAAAAAATGATTATCTTTCAATAAAAGATATAACTCAAAAAATGATGATTTTACTTAAAAATGGTAAGTCATTAGACACATGATTTACTTCTAAAATTTTGACATATTAATTACATTTCATTTTTAAGTTCAAATAATTTCATTATCTGTTTTACATATATCCAAAATACATGTATCTAAATACGTCTCTCTCACACACACATTATTTATCGAATTATGGACTATAGTTTTGAAAACACAAAAAATAACGTTTGTTTGCCTTTTTTTTAAAAAAAAAAAATGAGAAAAAGGAATTTGAAAGTTGAGTGTGGGCCCAAAGAAGAGTGGCCCAGTTTTAAAGCCAACTGTACATCTTTCTCTTCACCTCTTTTTGCTTCTCTCTTAACATTTTCCATTTCCTTCTTTACATACAGAGAGAGAAAAAGGAGAGGAAAATTCTTTCCTCCTTTCTATACACAAACGAATCAATCCAACAAATAAAGGGATTTTCCTCTCTCTCTTTCTCCAAAACCTTATACTCATGGCGGTATGATTCTCAATTTTTTCTTCTTCATATATGTATATGTTGGGTCGAATTTTAATAGCTATATCCGTATTATTTTGTTTGATTTTTGTGTCTTTGTAGAAAGAAACGAAACAGACTTCTAGGTTTTTTTTCCGGCTACAAATTTATTGATTCTCCATTTTGTGAAAGAAATCCGAGTCAATTCATCTAATTTATTATTATTTTTTGTGCCCTGCCACAACATATATCTGTCCATCCAGACTAGGAAATATACGGAGAAATCACCTTGTGTTTTTGTCTGTGTTGGAATTTGAACATGAGACGTTTCATTGATCACTGTGCCACACCCTTTTGGGGTGCTATATTTATATGTTTTTAGCTATATAAAATACTTCAAACTCGAGGCTTCTTATATGCTTGTGGAGTTGTGGTGCAAGTGCCCTTTTTGAGCTTCAATTGTTTACTAGTCATATCGTTGTTCACCATAAATTGTTGATATATTTGGTCTCTTGTCATTCTCAACTTCTCTCCATAATAATATGAATATATGGTTGTTCTGTTTTTGATCTCTATTTTAACTAGGAAGTAATTTGTGGTGGTGGTAGTGGTGAGGCTTCTTTTTAGCTTACAAATTATTATTATTCTATTCCTTTGCCTTAGTGCGTCTTGGATGCTCTTCCCATAGTGCCCCCTTCTTCCTCCTTGTCTCTTTCTCTGCTGCCTGCGTGGAACTGATCCGGACTGATAACCCGAACCCTTCGTAGACTGAACTCTCTTCTCTTTAGGCTCGCGTATTATTAGAATATTAGAGTTAGTGTATCTTAGGGTTTTCAAACAAATTTTTTATATATTTAAGAATTGCATAAAAGAAACACAACTCCTTGTGCTTTGGTTCTCTTGACTCTGGATTAGTCAGGCCAGTGGTTTTCAATGGTTATACTCAAAAGAACTCATTCTTTCTCTCATTTTCAAGTTCCCCTTCGAAAACAACTTTCATTTTCTTGTTCTTGAGTCGTTGACGGTTGAACTCTCATCTTCTACACTTTCTTCTTCTCTAGGCTGAACCATAAACTGACGAGATCATTTCTTCTTCTTCATCATTCTCCTGATTTTCTTCAACCATTATTTGATTTTCTTTTTTTCTTTTCTGACGTGTCAGGATCCCTTTTTCCTCTACCACTTCATCAATTACTTGATCATTTATTATTGGGAAAAGGGTCAAAAATGCCCTTAACCTATTAGAAATGGTTCAAAAATGCCCTCCTTCCACCTATTGGTTTAAAAATACCCTCAACGTTTAATTTAGGCTCAAAAATACCCTTTAGTTAACAGAAATCTGATGTGGAATTTAACTATTACTTTTAAATTTTTTAAGGAGTTTAAAATAAGTGGCTCACATAATTTTCTTTTTATAAATCAAATAAACCTTACACTCAAAGCCATTTTTGATAAATCTATCCCAATTTTCGTATCTTTGATTTTATACCTCCCATTATTTGCTTGTTCCTTTCACATGGAGATTTAAACTTTTGTTTGCTCATCATCTCTACTGAATCACTTTTGAAAAGGATTAAAGATAGAATTTTTTATAAATTTAGGATTAGTTCAAACTTCATACATATGGGTTTATATCACCGTATGAAAATATTTTAATTGCTTGTTTTCATCTTGTTTAATCTGTATGTCTGGTTTTTTAAATAACAAGATTTTACAAACACACTGGGTTTTGGATTGGAAGTTTTCTTTCTTAAAGGAATAAAGAAGAGGATGAAAAACAGAGAAAAAAAATTAAAATGACAGTGAAACGGGTTTGGGTTGGGTGGGGTTTATTTTATCTGATAAAAAAAATTAGATGGACCAATGAAATTTGGCCACTTGTTCAGTTAAATTCCACATCAGATTTCTGTTAATTAAAGGGCATTTTTGAGCCCAAAAAAACGTTAAAGGGCATTTCTGAACCATTTCTAATAGGTTAGGGGCATTTTTGAGCCTTTTCCGTTTATTATTTGTTTTTCTTCCTCTGTTAGCTGAGCTATTTGGAGCCTATATGCATCTTCGACCAGAGGAGACTCTTCTTCTGTTGTCCTAGCTTTTTTTTTCAAGGCCTTCTTTTATAAGCAACAAATGACTGTTTTTTCTTTGTCATTTTATCTTCATACATAAATCATCTCAAAATCGTCAACAACACAATAAATGAATAGTGTTCTCTAAGTTATAAATAACTACAGGTTGTTTAAACAATATTTGCTTGTTTACACAAAAACTAATACAACCAATTAATATTTCCCCCAAAGTTAAATGTCTTTATATATTGTTGTTTACACATGAAACCCGTGCAACTTCCATTTCAATATGTAAACAACATGTTGTTTGATAAATATGTTGTTATTTACACATGAACTAGTAAATATTTGACTATGTAATTTGGCGGATGGTATAATTTATAACTTGTAGTTGTTTACAAATGAAACTTGTGTAAGTCAGTTTCAATGTGTAAACAACATGCTTTTAAAGAAAGATTTGGTTGTTAATGCATGAAGCCTGTGCAAGTCAATTTCAATGTATAAACAACCACATGTTGCTTAGGAAATACGTTGTTAACAACAACATACCCATTGTGATCCCACAAGTTGGTCTGGGGAGGGTAGGAAATACCAAAGTTCATCCCTACCTTTTGTGGGGGTAGAGAGATTGTTTGGAAATACGTTATTGTTTACATGAAATTGTGCAAGTTCTGTTTCAATATGTATACATCACGAGTTTCTCCAAAATCAGATGCATCACACTTGAAGATCTGTTTGGTTCCTTGTCACACCAATAAGAATAATAACACAAAAAGGGAACAGTTGAGGAATCTATTGGCTTCTTCATTCTCACCAACATAAATAATAACACAACAAAGGAGAACGATTGAAGAATCTATTGGGTTCCTTCTCTACGCTAACAACAGTAATAAGAGAAAAGAGAAATATACTTCAAACCTAGAAATATGAGAAAATAAAATGAAATTTCCTTGAAAATAAAGTTGTCTTTGAAGGGAACTTGAAGGTTGATAAAATAATGTTGATTGCACCTTCGATTTTCGAAGAAGGAAGAATATAGAGCATAGAAGAGAGAAGAAGGCAATGGGGACCTGTATATGAAAAAATGAGGGGAAGACTTGGATTGGGATTTTGGGTTTATTAGAAGTTTTGCCTTTCAATTCTTTGCACCAAGGGTGTGGCCTAGTGGTCAATGACGTGGTTGTGAATCCTGAGGTCTCAGGTTCAAAACTCCGTGGAGACAAAAAACACTAGGTGATTTAGCCTTGGTGGATAGAGTTACATGATACCTGTTGCTGGTAGGAGGTGGAAGGTATCCTGTGGAATTAGTCGAGGTTCGGTGCACGAAAGCTGACCCAAACACCACGGTCATCAAAAAAAATAATTCTTTAACCTTAATTTTTCAATATTTTACTTCAGCCCCATATCCCTATAATTAAATTGTTGTAATAAAAGAATTGGAAATCCCTTATCCTCCGTTCCACTCTTAAAGGTTCCTTCTACCTCTTTTTTCCGAGTTTCTTACTTGAAATTTGTCACTTCCCTTACCTCATAGTTAATTTCCTTTTTCCGTCGGTAAGGGTAGGTTGTCCATTTGGATATGGCTTTTAAATATTCAGATATTCATGTAAGACTAGACTATTCTAGCATCTATCTTGCTCTGTGATTAGATAGATTAGATAGTAACAGTGATAAATATTCATTATTTTATGATTGTAGCATTTAGATAATGCAAATAGTAGACTTGTAGTTTGAATTTTGTTGCGGAAACATGACAAAAAGTATAAGCCACATGCCTGGTGTAATCTCACAAGTGAGGTTTGGGGAGGGTAAGATGTACGTAGACCTTACCCTACTTTTGTGGATAGAGAGATTGGTTTTGATAGACGCTCAACTCAAAAAAGAGAAGATATTTGGAGAAGGGCAGCAAGAAAAAGATAACAACAAAATATCAAGACATAGAGCAAAATGAAGCAATATATAGTATCATTTCTTGTCTAATCACCCCTCACCCCACCTAGTGTTTTTTTCGGGTTACCTCTACCTCTCTAACTCTTGTTACAACTAATCTCTCAAATCTCCTAATTGCCACATCAACACACTTCCTCTTCGCATGTTCGAACCATCTCAGTCTCGCTTTCTTCATCTTGTTCTCCACGGATGCCATCGTTCTTGATCATGTCTCTCTTAGTGTGTCTATACATCCATTTGAGCATCCTCATTTCCGCTACATTCATCTTTCGAACATGGGTGTTATTGACTGCCAACACTTTGTAGCATCATCTTTAATCTCCCCATCTCCTTGGATTATGGACTCAAGATACTTGAAGTTTCCTCTTTTGGGTATGACTTGTGCATCGATCTTCACTTCCACATCCGCCTCATGTGTCATGTCACTAACTTGCACTTTGGGTACTCTATTTTAGTGGTGCTTAACTTAAAACCTTTAGATTCTAGCATTTGTCTCCAAACTTCCATTCTGTCATTAGCTTGGTTGCGCATCTCATCTATCAACACTGTGTTACATGTAAATAACATGCATCATGAAACCTTCCTTTAAGTAGGTCATGTCAATTCATCCATCACTAAGGAAAATAGAAATGGGCTAAGGGATGGCCCCTGGTTCAATCCTATCATGACAGAAAATTGTTCTGAGTCACCTCCCACTGTTTCAAGTTCTAACTAGGGTCTTGTCTCTCTTGTACATGTCTTTAATTGCCCTAATATAATCTACTGGTACATCTATGGTGGACCTCCCTAGGAACTTTATCATATGTCCTTTCTAAGTTGATGAATACCATGTGTAAGGCTCTTCCTATCCCTTTATTACTCCAACAATCTTCTTATAAGGTGGATGGTTTCTATAGTCTATCGTCCCAACATGAAGCTGAATTGGTTTTTGGATATAGACACACCCGTCCTTATTCTTATTTTGACCACCCTTTCGCAAAATAACTTAGCAACTTGATACCCCTATAGTTGTTGTAATGTTGAATAGTGCCCTTGTTTCTTGTACAACGACATCATTGTACTCTACCTTCATTCTTCTGACATTCTAGCCGTCCGAAAAATGACATTAAGCAACTTAGTGAGCCAGCCACTCCATACCTGCCTCACTTTCGCTCTTCCAAAACTCCATTGGAGTCTTGTCTAGCCTAGTCACTCTTCCCCTTCTCATCTTACGAATAACCCACTTAACCTCTGAAGCCTGTATGTACCTACAATACCCAAAATCTCTATGAATCTCGGAATGCTCTAACTCCCGGAAACGATATTTCTATCCCCTTCTTCATTCAAGAGCTTGTGGGAATACATATGCCTAGTGGCGTAGCCAGAAAATTCGTGAAGGGTGTCCAAAGTCCAAACTATGGATAGGTAAATTAAAGCCAAAATAGAAACAAAGTGGCCATGAGGAATAGAACCTGAGTGACCAACAAATTTTTGTACAGTATTGCCACTGAGCTACTGCTCTATCCACGTCAAAGTATCTCGTTTTTTTAATAACTTTAAATTTTTAAAGCAGATCACATTAAACAAAATGCAGGTGCGAGGATTCGAACTTGGACTTCCTGCACATGTTGTCGCACCTTTGCCCTATGTTGCTCGGACTCTTCAAAAATGTCAATGGGTGCGTGTCGGATCCTCCAAAAATAGTGTATGTTTGAAGGATCCGACACGGATGTGGCAACATTTTTGGAGATTCCGAGCAACTTAGCTTTGCCACTGAGCTACTGTTCTTTATTGTTTTGGAGGGTGTCCAAAATTCTACATATATCAATATAAAGTAAGATTTGACCTATATATATATATATTTTTTTTTTTTTGTAATTTTTCTGGCGAAGGGTGTCCGACTAGACACCCTCTTCGACCAACACTTCACCATTATCGTCCTTGATACACTTTACTTGGTTCAGGTCAGCCGTCTTTTCTATATATGAATCCACAAAAATACATTAGATTTCAGTTCCGCATTGTATCCCGAGGGGAGGTGGGAAAGCAAATAAAAAGAATTGATTGTTTGGTGGTTAAGAAAAATCTATTTTTCAGGTTGCTTCATGCTATCACACATTGCAAGGCATTTATGTGTAATATATATTGTTGAAAGTTTGTTTTTGCCTAAATGGACTTCTGATATGAAGGTTCCAATCAATTATTTTATTAGGTGACAAATTAATTTTTGAGTTCCAGATATTCTGTATAGAAAGGTCTAGCACTAGCTCCTTATTAGTTTTTAAAAGAGTCACCTATAAAATTGGTAATTTTGACCTCTTCCAAAAGAAAAAAGAAAGAAAGGCAGCCCGGTGCACTAAGCTCCCACTATGCGTGGTGTCCAGGGAAGGGCCATACCACAAAGGTCTATTGTACGCATCTTTACCCAACATTTCTGCAAGGGTCTATTCTATTTTTCACCTCCACTCCTTAATTTAGTGCTAAACTGTTATCATTCTTCTCTTTCTCAAAAAAAAACTGTTATCATTCTTCTGTAATCTTTTTTATATATATATATATATATATTTAGGAATTCTACTTGGCAAAAGATATTTATACCATTGCTGATGTTTCTTTATCAGTAAAATGTTTTGCAGCCTTTTTCATATTAACATAGAATTGCAGCTCCGATAGTTATCTTTTGACCTCTACAGGAAAAAGGCCACCCACTTCCTAAGTTTGGTGAGTGGGATGTTAATGACCCAGCTTCTGCTGAGGGTTACACGGTCATCTTTAACAAAGCTCGAAATGAGAAGAGAAGTGGTGGCAATACAAACTCTCCACCAAAGGGTGACCCTACATATAAGCATGGAGCAACTCTTGGAAAGCCTCAATCAGTAAGTTGTGGGCCTTGTCTATGAGTCTTTGTCTAGCAGTGTGTGCTAGACATGCATTTGTTTAAGTATTTTATGCCTCAGTTTTGATGGATGAGGAAATTGTTTCACAAAGTTTATACAAATGTTAACATGTTGTGCTATTAGATTATCACTGAAAGCGTGATGTTTTATCTGCTGTTAGATTATTTGAAAGCATGAGCTTTTAAATCTTATGTCCTAACAACTAACTGGCACGCGAAATATCATGTCATTTCCCTTGTAAAGTATGTGCATAAAGCAACATAGTCATTTTCTGAAACAAAAATGATGAACATTTGTTTGGGTCCTTGGCATTTTAAATTGATAATGTGTGGATTATGTTTTATTGTTGCATTCTAAGCTTTGCATTTTTATTGTGAGAAATATATATGGGAAAAATATTATTGAATTGTTGTTCTAATAATTACATAGAGAACCCTATTTATAGACACTATATAATACAATTCCTTACCAAATAGGAGACCACAAACTATTCCTAGTTTGTGTAGGATTGTGTTTTCCTATTCTATTCTAACACTCCCCCTCAAGCTGGTGCATACAAATTATATGTACCTAGCTTGTTACAAATGTAATTAATACGAGGACCGGTAAGAGACTTGGTGAAGATATCTGCAAGTTGATCATTTGACTTCACAAATTTGGTAACAATATCTCCTGAGAGTATCTTTTCTCTTACAAAGTGACAATCAATCTCAATGTGCTTAGTCCTCTCATGAAACACTGGATTTGATGCGATATGAAGGGCCGCTTGACTATCACACACAAGTTCCATATGACCGGTTTCTCCAAACTTCAGTTCTCCAAGCAACTGTTTGATCCAAACTAGCTCACAAGTTGCTACAGCCATTGCTCGATATTCTGCTTCTGCACTGGATCGAGCAACCACACTTTGTTTCTTACTCTTCCATGACACCAAATTACCTCCAACTAAAACACAATATCCGGATGTAGAACGTCTATCAAAGGGTGATCCTGCCCAATCAGCGTCTATATATCCGGTGACATGCTCATGGCCTTGATCCTCGAAGAGTAGTCCTTTACCAGGAGCTGACTATACGAACAACTGTATCCCAATGACTATCACAAAGAGAAGTCATAAACTGACTTACAACACTCACAGGAAAAGAGATGTCCGGTCTAGTCACAGTGAGGTAATTCAACTTTCCAACCAACCAGTTATACCTTTCAGGATTACTGAGTTGCTCCCCCTGTCCTGGAAGGAGTTTAACATTCGGATCCATAGGAGTGTCAATGAGTTTACATCCCATCATTCCTGTCTCCTCAAGAATGTCTAAAGCATACTTGCGTTGAGAAATAACAATACCTAATCTAGACTGAGCAACCTCAATACCAAGAAAATACTTCAATCTGCCAAGGTCTTTAGTTTGGAAATGCTGAAAGAGATACTGCTTCAAATTAGCGATACCAACTTGATCATTGCCGGTGATAACGATATCATCAACGTAAACAACCAAATAAATACACAGATTTGGTGTTGGTTGCCGATAAAACATAGAGTGATCAACGCCACTATGAGTCATGCCAAACTTCTGAATTACTGTGCTGAACCAAACCAAGCTCGAGGAGACTGTTTCAGACCATATAGTGACCGACGCAATCGACATACAAGGCTTCTAGACTCCCCCTGAGCAACAAAACCAGTTGGTTGCTCCATATAGACTTCTTCCTCAAGATCACCATGCAGAAAAACATTCTTAATGTCCAACTGATGAAGAGGCCAATGACGAACGGCAGCCATAGATAGAAAAAGACGGACTGATGCTATAGTATGGAATGTGGAACTTGGTTCGAAATAGAAGATGAGGGCATTCTATTAATTAAATAACAAGATGAAAGGACTGCATCACCCAAAAACGCAGCGGAACATGGGATTCAATGAGGAGAGTGCGAGCAGTCTCAATGAGATGCCTATTCTTTCTTTCCGCTACACCATTTTGTTGAGGAGTGTATGGACAAGAAGTTTGGTGAATAATTCCTTGGTGAGACATAAACTTCTGAAACTGGGATGATAAGTATTCTAAGGCATTATCACTACGAAAAGTACGAATAGAAATACCAAACTGATTTTTTATTCAGCAAAGAAACTTTTGAATATAGAAAATAACTCAGAACGATCTTTCATTAAGAAAACCCAAGTACATCTCGAATAATCATCAATGAAACTAACAAAATAATGAAATCCTAATGTGGAACTGACTCTACTAGGACCCCAAACATCAGAATGAACTAATGAAAAAATAGACTCTGAACGACCCTCAGTACCACGTGAAAATGTGGCACGAGTGTGTTTCCCAAGTTGACACGACTCACAATCTAATTTGGACAAACTAGATAAACTAGGCACCATCTGTTGCAATTTATATAGACTCGGATGTCCCAAACGTTTGTGAATGAGGTCGGAGGATCTGTAACAGAGCATGCTGTGAAGGAATTTGAAGAGGTAAGATAGCAAAGGCCTTATGATTCATGTCTTGTGCCAATCATATGTCTCGTACTGCGGTCCTGCATGAGAAAAAAAACATCAAAAAAGGTTATGCCACAATGTAGGGCACGTGTCAAACGACTAACAGATGCCAGATTAAAAGGGGAACCAGGGACATAAAGAACAGAGTCTAGAGTGACAGAAGATAAGGGTGTGGCTTTTCCAACCCCTTTTGGTTTTGTTTGTATCCCATTGGCCAAAGTAATAGCAGGAAGAGATGTAACAGGATCATAACTGGGTGGTGGACCATGCAAATTATGACATATGTCACGAGTGTGTCCAGACTTATGACAATAACTACACTTGGATCGAGGTTTTCCAAGACGACCTCCTCCTCGTCGATTCTCCATAGATTGATATACTCGTTTTTCTATGGTTTGAGATGCGAGAGCAGAGGAATCAAAGGTCGGTGATGAAACTACTTTGTGGCTGGGAGGCGCGGCAATACGAAGTAGACGAGAGAATAATTCATCAACTGTTGGAATTGTAGGACTAGCTAAAATCTGATCACGCACTGAATCATGGTCAGTAGAGAGTCCAGCAAGTGTAAGAACTAGAAACAACGTCTGTCGGTGTTCTTGTTGTTTGTCCACATTTGTAGTGATTGGCATCAACGTATCAAATTCCTCCATGACTGATTGTACCTGACCCAAGTAAGTAGATATATCAGATTCTTGTTTCTTTAAGCTAGTCATTCTAGATATCACATCATAGAATCGAGATATATCATTAGTATATAAAACTCGAGCCTTTTCCCAAACTGAATAACATGTTTGGGATGAGCGAAACAAGGGCATCAACTTGGAATCGATAGATTGCCATAGGAGACTACATAATTGAGCATCAACCTTCTCCCATTGTGCTTTGACGTTATTATCTGTCTCACTAGCCTTTGCCTTTTCATCTACCACACAAGTATTGTTGGTTAAGTGATCATGAACGCCTTGCCCCTTGCACCATAACTCAACCGAGGAAGCCCAGGCAAAATAGTTTGAGCTTCCCATTAATGGTTCTGAAGTGATCATAGCACTTGAACTACCTATATTCTTGGAGCCAAAAATATCAATCCCTAAAGACATATTATGAATTTAGATTGAGGAAAAAATAAAAAAATAAAATAAGGCTGGTCAGAATCTGAAAAAAAAAGGGTGCAGTCGCTGGAAACTAGGTCTGACTGCCCGAAACTGGTCGGAATAAGAAAATAAATATACAGTCTGCCTCGAAATTGAGAGGCGACCTCAATGAAAAAAAAATTGGTCGAAAAAATTGGCCGGAAAGTGTCGCACGCGCCGGCGCGTGATGCGCGTGGTGACGCGACCCTGGAACTCCTGGCGGCGCGTGAGGGCGCGTGGCTCGGTGAAACTCAGAGGAGCTCACTGGGGTTTGCTCGCCTGAGTGTTCCACACCTCATGGTGGTATGGGTTGTCGCACTACACTTGTAAAACGAGACAACAATGCAAACCAGCCGTTGACAGTCACCGGATTCTGAC